CCTCCGCCACCAGGATCTTCGATGCAAAGGTCGTCGCGGTCGCCTTCGGACTCCCGAAACTTCTGCACCTGCTCCGCTGTGAGCTCCTGAGTGAGCACCAACATGTCGTGCAGCCAGGGCTCCTTGTACCGACTCATGGCGTGCTCGTAGAGCTCCCTGCGGATGCGGGCCCGGGTTTCCGCGTTCTGGGGCATCTCCAGCATCTGCGTCATGACGTCAATGCAGCAGTCGCCGTCACAGACAGTTCCGAGTACGAAGCGCGCCCGAATATGGTAGAACTTGTTCATCTCGTCGGCCGCCTCTGCGCCCTCGTGACCCATCGCGGCCGCCACTCAGTGATTGACGTTCTGGGGGCAATTGACTGGCTCGGCCGTGGCATCCTTCAGATCGCCCACGGGCAGAAGGTCCGCAACTGCGGACCACGTCGCGCCTGGTCGGAAGACGCGCGCCGCGCCCCCCGCGGCGCAGGGCGTGCAACAGGTCTCCAGCGCCCAGGGGGCGTAGATGGCAAGGAGGTCCATGAGGTCCCCCCCCTCCCACATCAGTGGGCGAACGTTGTAGCGCAGGCCAAAGAGCACGCAGGCGGAGTGCCCGACGCACTTGCCGCTCGCGAGGATCTCTCGAGCCAGGCCCAGCACTTTGAGCGGCGCGGCAGCGGCCACTGCGGCACTGAGCGGTGCCCTGTCGAGGCCGCCACTGCGGCCCTGAGCGGCGCCCGGTCGGCGCCCTGTCGGCGCTCGGTTGGGGCCCGATCCCACCGCCTCCGCGCCCGCGCCCACCGCCTCCGCGGCGGCGGGCTCGCTCGACCCGAGGCCGAAGCCAGCCGGGGGGGGATCGTTGCACCGAAAGCAGCATTCGAAGAGCCCCCCCCTGTTCCTTGGCCAAGGGAGGGGCCGCAGCTCGACGTCGCAGAGGGGCGGGCGCCGGCTCCGCGGGCGGCGGGCGCAGGGAGCTCGCCACTGCAGCCAACTGTGCAGCAGGAGCCCCCGTGGCTGGCGGCGTGGGCGGGGGGCTGCGGATACCCTCGGACTCCGCTTCCTCTGCCTCTTTGGCCTCCTGAGGCTCTGATTCTGCCTCCTCTGCCTCCTCTGCCTCCTCTGCCTCCTCTACCTCCTATGCCTCCTCTGCCTCCTCTGCCCCCTCTGCCACCCCTGGCTCTGCCTCCTCAGGCTTTGGCTCCTCAGGGTTTGGCTCTGGCGCTGGCGGCCCTGGCGCTGGCTCATCTGGCGTTGGCGGCGCTGGCGCTGGCGCTGCCTCGTCTGCGCGTGGCAGGCGTGCCCCCCCTGGCTGTAGCTCTGGCGGGGGTGCTTCCTTTGGGGGTGGCAGAGGCGGGGCCGCCGTCCGCGGCTGCGGCGCTGCTGGCTCCGCTGGCTCAAGCGCAGCGGCAGCTGGCGCTGGCTGCGCCTCTTGTTCAGGGGCAGCTGCCCCTGATTGGCGCCAACCTGTCGGTCGGAGATGCATGGCGGGGGGGGGGGGGCGATGCCAAACTGGGTCGCTGGTCAGTCTGCCTGGCGCGATTCGCGCAAGCAGCAGCGCACCTGCAACGAGCCCACAGGCACCTGGGCGCCGCCACTGCGGCGACAGATGTTTACCATCCCTGTCTCCCCGTACTGCGTCATACGCGGAAAGGATTTCGTCTCGGGGTTCTTCGCCCACTCGCACTCGAAGTTCTCTCCCGTGAACGCGTCCGCGCCGTGCCATCGCGCGCCTAGGCTGCGGCACGTGCACCCGCATGTGCCATCTGGCTGGCGTTTGGGAGGCATCGCCCGCGCAGACCCCCTGCGCGCGCGCCGCCGCCCCTTGGAGCAGCTCTTTGACGCGAAAAGGGCGTCGCGGACGAACGAGCAGGAAGAGGCGCACCGCGGAGGGCACGGGGAATAATACCATTGGCTGCAGAAGGGGCAGGCGGAGAAGCAAGCGAGAAGCAAGGAGGGGGGCGGGCGCAGGGGCTGCGTTTTCCTCACGGACCGTTAAGGCATCACTTTGTGAATGAGTCTCACTGGCATTGGCGCCTGCGCCGCCGCGATTCGCCGAAGAGAGCCCCAAGGCGAGCGCGGCCCCCACCGCAGGACAGGCACCGAAATGGAGCCGCCACTGCGGCTTTAGGCTGCAGGAAGTGTCTGCATCAACGCGGCCATGTGCGCGTCCAGGTAGAGCCTGCAAGCCCCCTTCTTCTGCAGATGACTGGCCCCGTGCCGCGCGCAGGGAAGCTCGTCGCCACTGTAGACTGGCAACCGCTTCGCGCGGGTGAAAGTGGCCAGCTGGCACGCGACAACCTTCCCGCGCAAGTCCCCTGCGCGCATGACCGTTCCCTCCCACGCGCCCTTGCATTCCTTGGTGGGGAACGGCCATCGGCGCGCGTAGCCGGCGTGCACGGCGCCCTGGGCACTGACCGCCTGGTCCGCAGGAACTGGTGGACTGGCGGCTTTTGTCGGTGTCTGCGAGCCCGCGCTCTCTCCAGAGGGCAGGCTATCTTGCGAGTCCGCCCCGTTAACGGCAGCCGCCGCTGCGGCGTAGTCTTCGCCTGGGTTCTGAACCAGCGGGGCCCCCGCCAGATCGCCCTCGGACCTGAGCCGCTCGAAGAGCCAGGGCACATCCGTCTCGCGGATCCAGTGCTCGTTCTTCTTGAACGAGATCAGGCACGCCTCCCTCTCGTCCGTCATCTCGGGGGGCTCGAGCGGGCACTTCTCGCGCGCGGAACAAACGACGATGCGCCCCAGCACCTTTTGTTTCTTCTTCGCGATCGCGTCTGCCGCTGCGGGATCGGGCAGGTCGAGCAGGGCGCCCATGGCGTCAATGGCGCCCTCTCCCTTGTCGTCCTCGCCAGCCGCCACTGCGGCGTCCTCGGCTCGCGCTGTGGCCTTCAACGCGTCCACGATCTCCTTCCACGCCCTTGCGGGTTGAAAGCGCTCTCATTAATTTCAGCCACGCTAATTCAGGAAACGCTCTAATCCTATGTGAAAATTAGACACTCTAATGAAGGTGTCTAATTTTAAGGTGTTTGTTTACATAAGCCGCGATGAGCCGCCCCAGTCGCCTCTCGCGGCAGAGGCAAGCCCCCTGCACAGAGGGGACTTGCGTCAGAGGCCAGGGCCCCTCTAGATTTCTGCCTTGAGAAGCGCCGTGGATAGGAGCAACACGAGCGAGGAAGCGGGGCAGGAGAGATGGCAAGAGGGCGGCAGGGGGAGGGGCACTGCACGCGCTGCTTTGTTAACGGTGTGGGAGGGAGTGTGCCTTGGGGCCGTTCAATGCCTCAGGAGGGGTTCGCTGGCCCTCGCGCAAGCGGTTCCGCCGCCGCTCTCCCGACTAAAGAGAGGCAGGGGAAGTAAAAAGAGAACGGGGGTTACATCGAGCGCGCCACGAGGCCGACCACGGGCTGAATCCGAAAACGCTCAAGGGTCGCCCTAGAGAAGCCCCCCAGGGTCATCGATGACCCTCTCCTGCGCGCGAATGCAGACACGCTGCCTCCGAAGTCTTTGTCGCGATAGCTCCAATGCTTGGACGGCGAGCCACCTGAGTGGCACAGCTCCAAGAACTGATGCAGCTGCGGCCTGATCTTGAACGGAGCAGGGAGGGCCTGTGCCAACCCAGCAAACAACAAACAACATCGGGTGGAATGTTCCTGTAACGCGACGTCTTGGACTGAGTGCTCAGCCTGCAGAACTTCGTAGCAGTGGTTCAACGGACGCGCTGCGCTGATCATGGCGCTCTCAATCGGGTCGTTCGCGCCCAGTACTTCCACCGCCACGCCCAAAGCAAACGGGGCGAGTGCCCTGCATATCCCTGCACCGCACTTCAGCTTAGGATACCCCTGTTTCTTCTTGATCGTGTACCGCGTGAAGGCGCGCAACCGATTCGGAACTTGTCGGCGGCCGTGCCGCGCCGTGATCTTATCCCAAAGCAGATCGCACCGATTCTCGATGCTCCTAGCTGGCAAATTTTCCTTGTACATGCCACAACAGTGCGCAAATGCAGTCTGCAGAAACGCCTTGGTCTGCGGCGCGCAGCCAATCCAGGCGCAATGCGTCCAGGTCGACGAAAGGAGCCATAAACAAAGGGGGCGCTGCCTGACCACTCGCAAGGATCGTCTGCAGCAGGCTTGACCACGAGCGTCTCTGAGTCCTCCAAAGCGCGCCCCTGCCGATCTGCGAGGGCACCTAGACAGGTCAACAAACAGGGACTGGGGCAGGGGTGCGATCAGGACGGCGAGGACGACGACTACGACCAGGACGACGACGACGACGACGACGACGACGACGACGACGCACGACGACGACGACGACGACGGCGACGACGACGACGACGACGAAGACGACGACGACGACGACGACGGCGGCGGCGGCGGCGGGGCGGCGGCGGCGGCGGCGGCGGCGGCGGGGGAAGTCGAGGTTGGAGGAGGGACGGAGAAGCGAAAGGCTAGGGGGTGGAGGGGAGGAGAGGGGGGCCGGGGTGCAAGGGGCAGGTGGGGAGGGGGGAGGGAGGGGGGGAGAGAGGGAATAGGAAAGGGGATGGGAAAAGAGAACGGGGGAAAGGTGGGAAAGGGGCGGCGCTGGCAAAGGGGCGGCGGCAGCGACGTGAATGGGAACGAAGAATAGGAAGGGTGTAGTTTTGCAACGCGCTGGCCTCGTTTGGCTCGATGTGGCACATGACGCGACAACCTTGCGCATCGTGCCGGCCAGGTAATTGCATAACTTCTTTCCACATTTTCCAATCTCCTTTCAGCTGCGCCAAAATGGCGCTCGTCGGGTAGAGGGGTTGCGTCGCAGCTGTTTTTCTCCTATACAAATCGCTATGTAGCCACGCGCAACCATCGCGTCTCCTATCAGGCCACTCCTTACGAGCCATAAGAGCCAGCGACCAGCGCATCACCTCGAATATATCATGGAACGTGTTCGGACCCACGTGTGCGTTCAGAGGCGCAACCGAGGGGCACCTGAAATCGCGGTGCTCCCTGTCCAGGCCCGGTAAGAGCAATGACAAAATCTCGCAACTGATGCTCCGAGCCCAATAACAAGGTACACCGTCCTGCCCCATGCCCACGCCAAGAGGCGCCTCCCCGAGCTGGGCACTTGCGTTCCGCACGTGCCGCGCCGTGACAGCGTCGAACCCACTTTGGTCTTCGATGACATTCATGTCGCACAAAAAAAAGCTTGCCCACGACCTCGTGGGGGAGGAGCACGTGGCACTTCATGGGCTGCTCGCGCCTGCGCTTGGGACGCCACCCTCGCACGGTGCATTCGCAAAGCGGTGGCCAGCCCCTGCCTTTCGCCATCCTCCGCCGCACGCGAGCCGCTGCGTTGCCAGACCCCGCTGCCTCCGAGCCAGCCCGGTCGCCCAGGTGAGAAGCCCCTGCTGCGTGTGCATCATTCACGATTTGCTGCCCTCGGTTCGTTGATATGGCGTTCCTGGGAACCGAACCAGCTAGGTTCTCGCGCAGCCTCTTGTCAGCTGGTGTGTTCTCGCGATCGAATGGCAGCCCTCGTTTCGATGGCATCTTCAGCGAACAACCCTCGGGGGCGCTCGAGCCGAAACAGCTGCCATGCGGAATCAATGGTCTTACCTGAGTGAGGTCCTTTGTCTGCAATGTGCCATCGTTTTTCGCCGCCCCTCCTCCTCCTCCTCCTCCTCCTCCTCCTCCTCCTCCTCCTCCTCCTCCCCCCTCTCATTCTCCTCTTTTTTATTTCTACGTTTCTCTACTCCTACTCGACCTCCTCCTCCTCCTCCTCCTCCTTCTCCTCCTTCCTCCTCCTCCTTCTCCTCCTCCTCCTCCTCCAGATCCTGATCCCCATCCTCGTCCTCCTCCTCTTCCTCCTCGTCCTCCTCCCCAGCCTCCTCCCACTGCAATTGCTGCTGTCTCCGATCGTGCCCGGGTCCCCGCTGCTGCCCCGGCTTGAAATGCTGGCCCCTGCTGCGATGGGGCCATCAAGATACGCGCGTATAGCATAAATGGCAGTTGTGGTCTGCCTGCAAAACTGCTGGGAGGGGCGAGCCAAGTCGCGTTGATGCGATGATCGATGGTACTGTACGGTCACTTTTTATGTCCGAGTACAACGTCGCGAATTTCTTCCACGTCCACTTCCAAAAAAACCGCCGTCCTATGCACCAGCCACGCAAACATGTCAGGCGAGGTATGTTGCTAGCTTCGTCCTCGCGAGGTGTGCGCCCTCGACCATTGTGGAAAACTCCTCATCCTTCTCTCTCAACTTCTTGACCATATTCTGATAGTGGGCCTTGTCGTGAGCCACGGAATCGGTGCACTCGATGATAGCAATGAGATTCTCCATATCATGGTGGCAAAGGGCAGCCGCCGCTTGCGCCTTCTCTGCGTCGGCAGCCCATTTCTGATACTGGGTCTTGTCCTTCTCGCTGGGGTCCTCTGCCTTCGCCTTGAGCTGCGCCGCATGCTTCTTCAGCGTCGCCAGGATGGGATTCAGCTTCCGCTGTTGCGACCTCGGCGCGCACCCGTCCCCCCATCCCCCTGCTGATTGCGCATATCCTTCCTCGCACTCATCCCCTCCTGCCTGCCGATGCATTAAGGCCCCGACAGGAAAGCGTCCTTGAACTTGAGAATGCCCGGCCAGAGGGGGTTCTCCAGCTTGGTCTTGACATCGCCACACCCCGAAGAATCGCCGCTGCGCACAGCCAGGAAACCCATGGCGCCCTCGATGCCCTTCTTCCTCCCACGTCAGCGCTCGCAGCATACTTCTTCGAGTCCCTGGTGATAGGCGAGTATGTTTCCAGCTCTTGGTGGATGAAGTAATAC